CCACCCCCGTAACCTCCAAATACCCACTTTGTCTAGGGTGAAAAACCTGGCTGTCCATGGTAAATACCTCCTTTTCAGTAGAGGGTCGACATGATACCAACTAAAAACAGGTCGGGTATTGGGTAGGGGTAAGGACAAGGCAACTCGTTGTGTTCCTCGATGTCTACCGGTTGCGTGCTTTACCTGGAGGTCTACTCTCATGAAGCCCTCTGTCCACGGAATCGCGACTCGGAAAGCGACACGGGAACCTTTTGGCACCGAAAGGCCAACCTGGGCTGTTCAAAATGGAGGGTTGGCCAATCCTAATCCATAATCCCTATAGGAAAGCCACTACAAAGGCGACCCCTTGCGTAACGCCAGGTAAGGATTAAGGATTACCTTTGAACAGCCCGGCCAACAACCAAAAGATACGGAATAGGGAGAAATACGTTGTGCATGTTCTTACATACCGCGATTTGGTTTTTGGTGGTTCCTATCCTGCGAGTGATTCGGTTTAACCCGGAACCAAACATCTTGGTCCCTAAGGCCGTGCCATCTTTCTTTCGGATGGAGCCCTTAGTTTGGATCGTTTTTGTGTCTGGCAGGCCGTATTTGGCCGTCAACCTGGACCTGGAGTCTCCATTACCCGTTACAAATGGGGTCATTACCCAAAATAATGAGGTCATGGACCCATTTTTACAGGATCATGGAGACTCCACAAACCCGTCTTTGTTCAACAGATTGTTGGCAAAAAGCCGTGAATGACCGTATGGCCATTCTTGTTGGTGGCCCAAGCCGTATGGACAGATAAAACAACCCAGAAATGGGTTTCCAGGTGGCTACCTTGGGGCGCAGAACCCGGGCATTGCGCGAGGTTCGTTTTTTTACGCGTAGATTTGTTCATCCCAGAGACCCAGGAGATGTTTTTAGGTCAAAAGCCCGGATTTCTTTGGCATTGGCAAAGCGCCTCCCTCTGGGATGGTTCCTTCAAACCAATGCCCATGGTCCAAAGCTAGTAAGCTCTTTTGTGGTGTCATGGACGGTTCCTTCAAGCCTGCGGTTTTGGGCGAAACACGAAGTAGCCCAGGGAATCCAAGAGGTACACGTGGTTCGCGAAGTACCAAAAGAACCCCGTCCCAACGCTCAATGGAGAAGGAGCTGATGACGCGTGACAGGTGTAAGAAAGTAGGTTGTTTGGGGTTAGATGGAAAACAAGTTGCAACAAAGAGGTTCGACAACCAGGCCCAGGACAGCGCAGCCCAGCGGCCCAGCGCTCCGCCCACCCCCTACCACCAGCAGGCCCCTGCGCCGCGAAGCTTTTCGCGATGTAGAATTCCGCTGCCGCGGTATGGCAAGCGCACAAACGCCCTACTCTACCTGACAGGAGGTTGCAAAACTTGAGCCAGGCGGCCATTCGGCGCGCATGGTTTGTGAAGAAACAACACGTGAACTAAACACAAAACCAAATGGTCCGAAGCTCGCCCCTTTGGTGGAAAATTGGTAAACTCTTAAGAACGTGGAAGCTTGCGATACCAAAATAGTTGTCGCCCTTCCCTCAACGCGGCTAAGCGCCCAAAACGTGCAGGACGGCCCCATATTACGAGCCCCCCAGATTCAAGCTCAGCTGCTCTTGCACCTGGCAGCTGGCTCCGCCCATGTCTGGACGACCCCAGGTTACAACAGCCCCAGATTCAAGAATGGCAGCAAAAGCGCCACGAGTTGCTCGGATGTGCTGGACGTTCCTGAGCCGCTCTTGCACCTGGCTGCTGTCTCCGCCGTGTGGTCGAGTACCCCAGGTCACAACAGCCCCACTTTGAAGAATGGCAGCAAAAGCATGGGCAGTTGCTTGGATGTGCTGAACATTCTTCAACTGCTCCTGCACCTGGCTGCTATATCCTCCCCGGCTTGCATCACCCCAGGTCACAACAGCCCCAGATTCGAGAATGGCAGCAAAAGCACCGCAAGTTGCTTGGATGTTCTGGACATTCCTCAGCCTCTCTTGCACCTGGCTGCTGCCTCCGCCGCAGTCTGGACGACCCCAGGTCACAACAGCCCCAGATTCAAGAATGGCAGCAAAAGCACCATCAGTTGCTCGGATGCGCTTGACCTTCCGCAGCTGCTCCTGAACCTGGCTGCTGTCTCCGCCATATTCTGAATCACCCCAGGTTACAATATCCCCAGATTCAAGAATGGCGGCGAAAGCACCAGCGGCAGTTGCTTGAATGCTCTGGACGCTCCTCAGCTGCTCTTGCACCTGGCTGCTGTCTCCGCCAAACTCTGGATCACCCCAGGTCACAACACTTCCAGATGCAAGAACGGCAGCAAAAGCAGCGGCAGTTGCTCCGATGTGCCGAACGTTCCTCAGCTGCTCTTGCACCTGGCTGCTGTCTCCGCCCCATTCTGGATCACCCCAGGTCACTACAGCCCCAGATTCAAGAATGGCAGCAAAAGCACCATCTCTAGTTGCTTGGATGTGCTGGACGCTCCTCAGCTGCTCTTGCACCTGGCTACTGTCTCCGCCCAATCCCGGATCACCCCAGGTCACTACAGCCCCAGATTCAAGAATGGCAGCAAAGGCACCATCCGTTGCTTGAATGTGCTGGACGTTCCTCAACTGCTTCTGAACTTTGCTGCTGTCTCCGCCAAATCCTGCAGCACCCCATGTCACAACTTCGTCCCCGTGGGCATACCAAGCGAAGGCTCTAGCAGTGGCAGCCAGTTTGCCAAGCTGCACAACTGAATCCACCACGTCCCCATCACGCAGCCCGGCCTCGCTCAGCGTGGCCGTCAAATCAAGCTGCTGGCCTTTCGCAGAGAGCGTCAAGCGGCGCTGGAAATGATGCTGCGCTGCAGCCTTCAGCTCTTTCACGAGCATCTCCGGTGACACTGTTATGGAGCAACCATCGCCACTGGGCAAGTAAACATCTACCTTCATGGCGTAGGAAGGTATCTCTGGGCAAGACAAAGCTACCACACATAAAGCTGAGACACAAACATGTGACTTTGGGAGAGTGTTGAAATCCTTTAAGACACCCATGCAAGAAACATGCTGAGTGGGGCTTGAACCACTCCCCTCTAGAACCGTTCCCAGCTGAACTGGACCTACAGACAGGCGCATAGGCTTCCCGGGAAATCAAACCCAACGGAAAATACCGAAACCCAGGGTAAGGATCCACAAATTGAATTCGACAAGCTCTCCGCGAATCCAAATGTGCGGTTAGCAAAACGCGCCCAACTACTATTAACTATTAAATGGTCCGGGAGTTAACTAATTAATCGCCCTGGGTTTCTATCCATTGTTTAAACCTCCTTTTGTTTCCCTCGAATGTGCGGTTGGCAAAACGCGCCCGACTACGTCAATAGTCCAGGAGAACGCGCTTTGATTCAGTCGATCTCGAGTAAAACGTCAGTGGCTTACTCGCCAAATGCAAACTGAGCCATCCAAGTACCCTCCCTGAAGTACTTGGTAGCTCAAAGGCGAAAGGAACCCCAGCCGCTGGGCAAAGATTCCTGTGAGGTAACTTTCTTCCATGACGAATTTCCTCCAATTCTGTTCAAATGGACCCTGACGTTCGGGGTCCCTGTAATCCCTGTAAAAGGAAAATGATCTTCCAGGAAGATCCTGAATCAGGCTCCATGTTAATTCGTGGGATGCCGAATTATGCCAAAGCCACAGTTCCGCAAATCGAGCTTTGAGTGGTGGATTCGATAAATATCTTGAGCGATTCCCGGGGATCCAAGCCAGGAGCAGATCGCAAATTCTCGGGCAAACCGCAACCAAAGGAGCTTTCGTTTGGATGGCTAGGGCAGGATGCATCGAAACGACCAAAGCAGCTCGCCCCTGAGGGGAATCAAAAGGTTGTTTAAACCATCGATTCAACATGTTTGCACTGGGAGTTGGCCCAACCCTGGCTCCTACCCTGAAACAAATCGCGCGTCTTCCCGAACCAAACATGCGCGGGTGACCTGTGGGGCACTTCATGCATCTACCCCCTACTCCAAATACCATATGTTTTTAGTTGGTATGTTGTGAAAAACCGATCGGGTTTCCATGGTAAATGCCGATCCCTTGTTTAGTAGAGGGTCGACAAATCATACGCTAAAATCTTCGTCCATCAGGGCTTTCGGCGCTTCCCTTGACTTCGATTCTCCAAACGCGAAGATAGCGGCTTCGCCCGGCTCCGGGCTTGTGGCCCGAAGACCAATCGACCCAAGGGGAGAGCGGAACTTAGGACGGGACCGGATGGACTAAGAAACTAAGGGACTAGCACGAGTTCCCGAGCCGGAAATTGGGACGGCATCGAACAGGTGGGTGGGCTCGTGGAAAAACCCGATCGGTGAGCTCGTGAACTAACTTGCGCAACATGATGCGCGGCAGCATGCACAGTCCGGGTTTCATATGGGTGCGTCTTTTTTAAAGGGTATTCCAAAAGGAAAACCACCATTTTGGGGGTTTCCTGGCGCCCCTAAAAGAGACAAACCCACATTGCGGCACCTTCAAAGGTGCTTTCCCAGCAAAAGGCAATGTTTTTGACCCATCTCATCCAGACGGAGGATTGGACTGCTAAAAGCACTCAGGTCTTGGAGTCCAACTACTGCGCAGTCAGATCATCGCTCTGCGAATACCCAACAACAAGAAGCGTCCCAAATGCCAAAGCCATAGATTCAGCCACGTGGGTAAATTACCGTCTTTGGAATGATCATGTCCAAGCATGGCACCCAACAAATATGATGTTATTGATGTCAATGTATGTAAAGTATGCTATATATATATGTGTGTGTGTGCATATGTGTTTGCAGGCTGGCAACGTTTCGCCGTTCAAACCACGTCAAAACGAGCCGCCCAGTTTGCCACATTCCTATGTATCCCCGAGTTTGAACCTCTTGATCCAGAATCAGGTCTTCCGCTGGTGGCTTCATCTGCTTGCTTTATAGCCGCCCCGGTTTGGTTTCCCATTGAAGGGACCCAGAAATTGCGCTCCTTGGGCCAAATCTACCCGGCGCTTTCCCCCCTGCGGCGCCTCCGTGTCTTCTGGGTCTGCGGACAAAGAGAAGCCGTGGCAAGGAAGAACCCGCTGCTGCACCTATCGATCCGAGGACTCCAAAGGCGCAACCTGCACAAAGGACTCGGAAGTGAAAGGTTAACAGAGGGTTTAAAACTTGGGTGTGACCATTTTTGAGTTGGCCCTTTTGGAGTTGTTTTCGTTTGGGAAACCAAAAGGAAAACAAGCCATTTGTTTGGGTTCCCAGAAAAATGGCATACCCAACTATACACATTATTCTCTGACCCCCACACTCCCATTCTAATTCGCCTCGGCCCCAAGGGGGTCAAGGGCGCTCAGATCTCGTTTCTTGAAGGGACCCCCACACACACACAGTCTTCTTGACACAAATGCGCTCAAAAGCATGACCTCTGCTGGCCAGGCCTGTCTGACTAGCCTCACAACCCAGCCCAACCAGCAACCCACACAACCAAGGCCCAGGCACATCCAGCTTGCCCTGTCCTTGCCTCGAGGATTCCTGCGGGCCCATGACATCAATTGGTCCAACGACACCAGAACCTGTCCATGCCTGAACCGCCACTTCACCAGCTCTGCTGCTTGCAGTCGAACCACAGACGCTGCACGCTCGGCTTGGCCGCGGCGGGCAACGCGCAGCGTTTACAATTAGAGGCCCCTACGTTAACATTCTGAGGCCTTGATAAAAAAAGGGGGCCAAACCAAAAGACGCAGAAGGCAAGGGAATGGCTGTTTCTCCACACCCTCTTTTGGGGGCTTGAATGGCTCTATTGGCACAGACCCCGCCAACACTTCAAAAATGTTGTGCTTGACACAAGCTGCACATGTGGGGTTGTCCAGTCCTTTAATAGGGTCATTAGTTGAGACCAGAACCTCACAATCCTCATGATCATCATCATCACCATCATCATCCTCACCACCATCCTCATCATCGCAATCATCACCATCATCAGCATCATCACCACCATCCTCATCATCGCAATCATCACCACCATCTAAATGGGCATGTGTCAAAATAGGTATCCCAAACAAGGTGGTTTTCCTTTGAAACTTTGGCTGCCCCCTTAAAACCACAAACGCGGGTCCCCTCAAAAAACACGCCCAAAGAATCAAAGGGTCCCGGAGCGAAAGCTGGTAGCCTTCCTATCAGACATGCCACTTAAACCAGTTCAGATCCAGGGCAATTTGGCGACTTCCCTTCGGATAGTGTCGTACAGGAACCAAAAAAACGCTTTTGGTATGTGACAAATTCGAGACACCTCCAAGAGCCTCAACCTTCGTGTTGGCGTTCTTCTAACCCGAACCCCAAACAGGGAGGAGACCCGAGTCTTGACAGATGCGAACTCGTCCGCGTCATTTGGACGCACAAACCACACGACCTGCGCGGGCCCGCTGTTTCAAAGAGGAGCCCCCCCAGGGGTTGAAACCTGTTGCACCCAGAAGAAGACAGATCCCAAGCGCAACCGTCTACCCGTTACAGCTCTGTCTTTGGGAACCCCCCCTTTTTTGGAGGTTGTTTTGTTGGGAAGCCAAACAAAACCTAACAACTTTTTTAGACAATTCACCCCATACACAAAATGTTGGTTTGTCTCCCCGTTTGTTTTCATAGACATATTCACCTAGGTCCTCCAGTAGAGAGGTTAGAATAAGGGCGCCCGATTTTTTCTCTAGTCTATTTTAGTAGGCGGGTTTCCTCCTTACCAAAAAAGGGTTGAGAGGTCAGGCACCCTTTACCCCATCTACCTGGTTGTTCGGCTTCCCGGCTCACCGGGCCTCGCGGATCACCCCCGCCGCCGCGGAGCGATCTGGCGCCGCCTGGCCGCGCGCGAGCGCGCGGTTCATGGGGCTTTTGGGCGGCCAAAAAGTCGGCGCCCGAGATATGCCCCGTAACCTGAGTGGATGGCCCAAAAAAAGCACCCCAACTTTATAATTTACCACTAAAATTGTCTTTGAAGTTCATGAACTCAGGAAGTGAGCATACCCCATGAAAACCCAGGTTTGTCAAAAAATACCCTAGGAGTAGGGGGTATGTGTCCAAACCCAAAAAACGACTGCGTCATCACCCGCGCTGCATCTGTATCTGCCAACCGCAAAAAATGCCTCGAGCACGGAAACCACTGGTCGCGGCTTAAGCGCTCGCTTTTGCCGCCAACGGCCCAGCGGTCGTCAGAAGCCAGGCCCTGGCGACGCAAAAAAGTGGTTTCAACCTTTTTTTGGTGGAACAAGCAACATGTTTCAAATTGGCAAAATGTATCTTGTAAGGAGCCCTGCTCCAGTAGAGAGGTTAGAATAAGCCGGTACCCGATGTTTTGTTTCTGCAGCCTACTTTAGTTAGGGGAAAGGGCACTACTGGGGGACCTAGTAGTACGCCGAGGGCCTTTGTAGCAGAAGGGCATTTTTGGAATTACGCGACGATTTCAAGATGTTCAACTCGCGTTCTGCCGAGAAGGCACTTAAACAAACAGTTCGGTCCACCTTGACGGGCGCACCTTAAGCTGATATGGTGGGGTCAAATTTCGCCCACGGCAGGGACTTTCCAAAGGAGTCTGGCCCAGCCGTTCGCAGGTAGGGGGCTGTTCTGGTCATTTGGTGAAGCAGGGAGATCCTCCAGCCGAGGGGTTAGAATAAGGATACGCTTTTTTCTCTAGCCTATTTTAGCAGGGGAACCCTCCCTCAAAAAAGAAAAGGTAAAAGGGCACTACTGGGGGACCTAGTTAATGAACCCAAGCGAAGCGCGCAGGAAAGCAAAGCAACAGCTTGCGCATCCTGCCTTGCTCTGGAGAGCTCCCAAGGACCTGAAGACGGCTGGCTCGTCTCCTGGACAAGAAGCCGATTAAGTCCCCAGCAACGCGCCCCAGGTTTGTTTGCAGGAAGCTCGTCTAGGTACTCCAGCTTTGGAGGTTACAACAAGGGTACCCGATTTTTTCTGTAGTCGAATGTAGTAGGGGAACCCTCCCTAAAAAAGGGGTAGAGAAGGGCAATACTGGGGGACCTAGTCGTGGCTTTTCTTGGCTTGGTTTTCTGTGAGAGAAGTTTGGCATGCCTTGCACCAGGGGTATGTTTCATGCAATTACCTGGTAGAGTACCTGGTAGAGTAGCTCGGTGTGTCCGAAAAACTGGTTGGTGTACCTATGATCCTAAACGGGACTTTAGTCTTGACAAATGGCTGTTGCCACAGTAGGGAATCGAGGCTGAGTTCTTTCCGCAAAAAAACTAGACCACGGTTGGCCCGAAAGCATCACAACCCCGCGATCATCCCCACGCATCCTCTGTACAAGACTGCACGCGTTTCTCCGCGCAAGTGCTTTGTGCAAGTTACTTGCGCCTGTTGCCCTCGCAATTCCCCTGTGCAAGTTGCTCTGCGCAAGTTGCACTACGCAAGCGCCTCTGCGCAAGTGCTCTGCGCAAGTTCCTCTGCGGAAGTCTACAAACTTCTCTGCTTGCGAATTGCTCTGTGCAAGTTGCTCTGCGCAAGTGCTTTCTGCAAGTGCTTTGTGCACGTGCTTTGCGCAAATGCTCTTTGCAAGTTGCTCTGTGCAAGGTGCTCTGCGCAAGTGCTTTGCGAAAGTTGCTCTGCAAGTTGCTCTGCGCAAGTCTCCGTGCAAGTGCGTTGCGCATGTGCTCTGTGCAACTTGCTCTGCGCAAGTGCTGTGTGCAAGTTGCTTTGCGCAAGTTGCTCTGCGCAAGCTGCTCTGTGCAAGTTGCTTTTTGCAAATGCTCTGCGCAAGTTGCTCTGTGCAAATCGCTCTGCGCAAGTTGCCCTGTGCAAACGCTTTGTGCAAGTTGCTCTGTGCAAGTTGCTCTGCGCAAGTGCTCTGCGCACATTGCTCCGTGCAAGTTGCTCTGCGCAAGTGCTGCCGGAGCTGCGGGAATATACTTCGTGTGCTACGTTTGTACATAAAAGTTACAATTTTCCAGCCGGAGCTGCGGGAGTGTCCTCCGCGTACTACGTTTGCATTTAGAAGTTGCGATTTCTGTCTAGGAAAGCTGGTGCGGACCATGTGAAGATCGAACCCGCGACCGCGCAACTCCGAGAGCAGCCGCGCAAACCACGCGACAACTTATCAGTTCGCAAGCAACACTGCGAGAGCGCTTCGCACGATCCCCGCAGAGGGTTCGTCCTGGAATGCCACACAGTTTTTTAACATTGACCACGCCGATCTCCGCAAAGGGTCGCGCGCGCAGATCAAGAATCGTAAAGAAGTCCCCAGTTTTGTTCACATCGACCACACCGATCTCCGCAGAGTCGCGCGCGCAGATCAAGAATCGTAAAGAAGTCCCCAGTTTTGTTCACATCGACCACGCCGATCTCTGCAGAGTCGCGCGCGCGCACATCAGCAATCGTAAAAAGTCCTCGGTTTTTTAACCTCGACCACACGAATCTCCGCAGAGGGTCGCGCGCGCAGATCAGAAATCGTAAAAAGTCCCCAGTTTTTTAACATCGACCGCGCCGATCTTCGCAGAAGGCTGATTTTCGTAGAGGGCTGTCGGCCCTACCCCGCCGCCCTAAGAAGAGAAGAAAGGAACTTAAAACTCCTCTCATTGAGAACTTTCATGAGCATTGCTCCTCGCCAGTGAGTCTCACGAGCATTGATCCTCGCAAGTGGCTCTCATGAGCATTGCTCCTCGCCAGTGACTCTCACGAGCATTGATCCTCGCAAGTGACTCTCACAAGCATTGCGCCTCGCCAGTGACTCTCACGAGCATTGCTCCTCGCAAGTGACTCTCATGAGCATTGATCCTCGCAAGTGACTCTCACGAGCATTGCTCCTCGCCAGTGACTCTCACGAGCATTGCTCCTCGCCAGTGACTCTCATGACGAAACTGTGCAATGACTCTGTGCAATGACTCTGTGCAATGACTCTGTGCAATGACTCTGTGCAATGACTCTGTTGATGATAACTCTTTGCAATGACTCTCATGATGATAACTCCCATGAATCCAACGGAAGAACCCTTCGCCATGCTTTCGGGAAAACAACAACGGGAAACTCGCCAATCTGGCCTACACTGAAGCAAACGGCACTCTCCATCGGAAAGCAAGTGCGCAAACGTCCAAACGGGGGGTCCATGCAACATGTTCGATTTCCCTAAGTCGATCGATCCTTGCTCTCAACTCGACTTGGAGTCGATTTGACAGGATGCAGTACTACCACGATCCCTCTCAATCTCCGGCATGTCCTAAAACTGGCCACGGGCCTAAAACTGGCAACGGGCGCCTCGTTCACAATGGTATCTCAAAGGAAACCAAAAGTACCTCTCTCTACGATCGCCCCCCGACACCGCCCTCCGCCATTGTTTTCTGGGTTTGGTCTCCACGCCCCGCTTCAACATCATGCGCTGAACCGGCCGCAAGCTACCGCCGAATGCACAGATCTCAGAGAAGATCGGTCGCCGTTGCAGCCGCTCCAACTTGTGCTTCCTGCCCCTTTCGGGAAGCCCAAAGTCACCACATGTTGAGAAAACAATGAAATTTGGGGCACATGCTAAAAACAGATGAAATTCGGGGGGTCCGTCTAGAATGTACCCCCTACTCCAAATACCCTTTTTTTAGGGTATGATGTCGACCCTCTACTAAAAAAGGAGGTATTTACCATGGAAACCCAGTTTTTCGAAAAATACAATAGAAAAAGTTGGTATTTGGAGTAAGGGGTACATTTCAGGGGACCCAAAAAAAAGGGTTGCGGCGCCGAACCTTTCTGAGAAACCTAACCGGATCCGATCGATCCAGTTCGGGCGGTGGTTCCTGCCGTTCTGTCGCAGAAGTCCAAGCAAGGCTGGTGACGGCAGGGAGCGCAGCAAGAATGGGGCTCCCATCAACTAGCTCCTGCCTAGTTTGGGAGTAAGCTAAATGGTTGGTACCCCTAGTTGCAAGATTTCGCAGGGGATTAACTCGGGTTTAAGATGAGATTGCGGACCATCTAAGTGCAAATCACCTTCACATGGGCATCGGACAGTAGATTGCAAAACAGGAACGCCTGTGGTCAGAGTGCTTCGCACGCCTGGCTTTCGAACAAAAGCGCTGACTAGCCCTTCCTTCACCTGGCAATCATTTGCTTCAAGAAACGAGCCAAATGATTTTAATGATTTTCGGAGATGTTCGGAGCCAATGAGCCGGTGTCGAAGAAGAGCCAATGAGCCAATGAGCCAATGAGCCAATGAGCCAGAGATTTTGGGCGCTGCCTAAAGAAGGGTGTCGAATATTTTTTGGTAGAGGGTCGACATCATACCCTAAAAAAAGGAGGGTATTGGGTGTAAAGGGATTTGCTTAAAGAAACCTTCGCCGGAAAGCGTCGAAGAGTTTCGGAGATTCTTAATGAGCCACTGAGTCGGAACGCTGGTTCGATTTGTTGCTCGGAGACCCGGAGTCGAGCCGCTCACTCCCTGCGAAATAAGATCAGGGCTCCTGTTGGCCACGAAATTGGGTGGCCCTTAGCAATACCCCCTACTCCAAATACCCACTTTTTTTTAAAACCTGGTTTTTCTATGGTAAACACCTCCTTTTTTAGTAGAGGGTTTACATGATACCCGTAAAACAGTTGGTATTTGGAGTAGGGGGTAGCAATATCTGTTGGGCTGTCCGAAACTGATATTTGTAACTTGGTCGTTGGGTTAGGGGAGCCGTTCAGTGGATGGGACTTCCCACTAAGCCATCAAGAAGAAAAAATGTAAACAAGGTTTCCCAACAACCATGGAAACACCTTCGGACCCGAACACGGGCAACACCCAATGCGCCGGCCAGGAAGGGATGCCCAAGATGAGGTCTGTTAACCCCCCCCCCAAAAAAAAAAAAAACATGGGTGATACCAACCAAACACGCCTTGGGGATTGGTTCGGGATGGTACTTTGTGCCTGCAGCAGAAAAACACAACTCATTTTGGTTTGCATCGGGGCCATCGGCAAGAAACCGATACACTCTGGGGGGCTGTAACAGACCTCAGATGATAATTGAAATTGCCGAGGATTAAACTTGCACGGCACGGCACGCGACTACCTGGACCCCCAAAAGACCCCTTTTTTCTGGCTTTGTATATATATTTTTGGTGAAAGGCAACAAAAAGGGGTCTTTTGGGGGTCCAGGTAGCTCATCTCACATCAAACGAAGCGCAACCTCCGTCGGTGGGTGAAACACTTCAGACTGCAACCTCCATCACTGGTTCTCGCACCTCGGATCGTTTGGGCGGAAAAAAAGCGAGCAAATCAATGCATCCAGTCGGGCCGCCTTTTGCCGAACGCCTCCTTTTTTTTGCCGCCATGTGCATAGCTCCCAGAGGAGACTTGCACTTCTTTCGTTTGTTCTTTGTTGTTCTTGGGGGGCGGGTCCCTGGATTTCTCAAACTGGGCTGCGGTCCCGATGAACGACAGGATTAGGGAAACCCAAAAGCCAACCCACCGGAAAAAAGGAATCTTTGAGAACCAAGCAGTTCAACAGCACATGGGATCACAGGCGGAAAAACATATGGGCAAACCAATGTGTCAAGCCGAGCCCTCAATTTCTCAAAATGGATTTCGGTCCAATGATGGTAGGATTAGGCGGAATCGCTCGTCGCGTTCCAAGCGGCGCTTCCATGAAATCCTCCAAGCAGGTTCTTGCCGAGGCCTTTGCAGCCGGTTCCGAACTTCCGAACTTCCGAACAAAAGCGTGCCTTGCGGTCACCCCAACCCAAAACCAAAACCAACTTTTGGGGGTCACCCAATTTTGAGGGTTGCCCATTTTAAAGGCAAACCTCTTCACACGGTACCAAGAGGAGATCAAAGGTGTCGACCCAAAGCTGCGTCGACAACGAAAGGGACGCGCCTATTTGTGGTTGGGCCCTT